TATAAGATGAAGAAGAGGGACCTGAGCTGGCATGTTAGAGCACTCAGCCACCTTGCTGTATGATGCCCTGTGCTGTCTCAAGACTCTGCAGAGTCCCCGTAAGCAAGAGGACCCTGACCAAATCTGGCCCCCTTGACCTTGGATTTCTCAACTTCTATCACTGTAAGAAATATATTTCTTTTCTTCGTAAAGTACCCGGTTTTAGCTATTCTTATATAAGAAACTGAAATGGGCTAAGATATCTAAAGCACAGACAACGAAGCCAAAAATGAACAAGTGGGACTATATCAAACTAAAAACCTTCTGTACAAAAAAGAAAAAGCATTTAAATAATTCAGGGCAACCTATAAAATTGAAGAAAATATTTGCAAACCGAGTATCTCGTAAGGGGTTAATATCCAAACATTTAAAGAACAAGTACAACTCAGTAGCAAAGAAACAACCCAATTTAAAACGATGAGCAAAAAATGAGCAAAAGACTACATTGACATTTTTCCAAGGAAGGCATACAAATGACCAACAGGTGCACAGAAACATGCTGAACACCGCTAATCAATCAGGAAAATAGAAATCAAAACCACCATGAGATGTCACCTCACACTCATTAGGCTGGCTCTTACAAAGAAGGAGATAAGTGTTGGTGAGGAGGTAGAGAAAACAGAACTCTTTTACACTGTTGTTGGGAATGTAAATCAGTATAGTTATTATAAAAAACGGTATGGAGGTTTCTAAAAAAATTGAAACTACTATAAAATCCAGTAATACCACTACTTTGTATACATCCGAAGGAAATGAAATCAGTATCTGAAAGAGATATCTGCAATCCAATGTTCATTGCAGCATTAGTCATAGCAGCCAAGATACGGAAGCGACCTTAAGTGTTTCCTGATCAATAAAGGGATAAAAAATGTGGCATATATACAGTGGAATATTATTCATCCATAAAAAAGAAAACCTGCCACTTGCAACATCATAGATGAGCCTAGTGGGCATTGTATGAAGTGAAATGATCGAGGCACAGAAAGACAAATACTGCATTATCTCACTTATATGAGGAATCTGAAAAAAGTGGAACTCAGAAAAGTAGAGAGTAGAACAGTGGTTGCCAGGGACTGGGGTGTGAGGAAAATGGAGAAATGCTGGTCAAGGTACAAACCTGCGCTTGTGAAATGAGTACATTCTCTGGATATAATTGTACAGCACGGTGACTATAGTTAATAATACTCTATTGTATGCTTGACATTTGCTAAGAGTAGATCTTGTGTTCTCATCACAAAATAAGGAAAAGGATACCTATATGAGGTGATGGATGTGTTAACTAATTTGATTGTGGTAATTATTTCAAAATGCATACATATATCAAATCATCACTTTGTACACTGTAAATGTATACAGTTTTGTTTGTCAATTATACTGCGATCACATAGGAGGGAGGGAAGTAAGTGAACTATTAAAAATGACACACAGCTTTCCCTGTCTAAAACACTGAAGTTATTCTGGCTTTCTGGGCAGGACAGTGTTGTGGTGCTGTGGCCAATAACATGGCCATGGGATTCAGATCACTTAGGGGAAAGCCTGGCCTGGCCATTGCTTTCGTCTCTGTGTCACCTATGAATCAGAGATCACAATGACATCTACATAAAGGGTAGTTGTGAGTATAGAATTGGTGTACCTTCAGGGCTCGGGACAGTGAGGGCTCATAGGAAGTGCTCAATATAGTGGTGTTATGATTTTCAGTTGTGTGCTGCCAGGCATCAGCTTACAACCGGGGGAAGAGGACGGGTGTAATTCTTAGGCACGCAATCTCACCATCCAGAGAGATGCTCCTTTACATCTGCACCTATATTGGAGAGCATCTGAGATTTCAAACCATGTGGTACAATTCGCTCTTTTGGATATATTTCACGTCTTTTCTTTGTAAAACAAAAGAGAAGTTTTAAAGGAAGACACGTTAAAAGGGAGTGTTCATTGAGACAATGTTATAATTGCTTCTAAGCCATGTCAGTGGATAGACAGGACGTAAGTTTGGTCTTAAAAGGAAGAAAATCAATCAGTACTTTATACTGATATTTCCAATATAAACAAAAATTATAAGTTTTCTTCTTAACTTTCTAAATTTTATATTTTTCCACTAATGAAACAAAATCTGTTCTTAATAGCATTAATATAATGACTTTCAAGTTTTATCTTAATATTTCTGTATACCACACATGTATATATTTGTACATGATTGTATATGCATGTATATGTTACTGTATCCATCTATATAAACATATATATTCATCCTACTACATATGAATATATTTATATAACCAACCATGTATATATCCACCTCTTTCTATATGAGAGACTTTGACGGCATATATTCAACTACATATGTGTGTGTATATGTATACATTTTACTCTATATATTATATACACATATATATCACATATACATGGTTTATTATAGTATACATAGATATCTGGACATATTTAACAACATAATTATATTGATATTATTACTAATGACAAATGTTAGCTGTCGATCAGTTTGCAATTGTATGGTAATGGTATTATCCATGTCAACTCTTTATGAATACTGTTTGTGCCTATTTGTGCCAACTGTGTGTCAAGGATCTAGAACAGTGCCTGACAAATACTAGGCACTCAATAATTATTAATAGAAGGATTTTTTACTCATTAATTCCTTCAATGTAGCAATTTGCAACTCTTGCTCCATTTTAGAATCACCTGGAAAGCTTTTATTTATTCACACTATCAATATCCTTGCTTGGGTCCCATCCAAGGCAATTAATTCAGAATATGCGATGAAATGGGCTCAGGCAATGCTCCCTGTAAAACTCTCTAGGTGATTCAAATGCACAGCCCTGGGATGAGAACCACTGATCTCATATCTCCCTGAGCCAGCGTTTAATTCCTGCTGAGGGCCATGGTTGGGACTCGGTGAGTAAAGGAGAGGCTGTCCCCTTGGGCGTCTTGGAATACGCACTAGAGGATGAGTTCTAGGTCAGTGCATCCCAACTGTATCACTATGTCTTCTGCTTGGCCTTCCTAATTTCGACTCTTGTTGGGAAACCGAAGAAAAATGAACCTTTCTGTACCCTCATGCTAGCCTTGGATTCAGGCACTCAAATTCCCCGGTGAGCAGAACAATTATAATAAGTTGGAGCAGAGACACTTGTACTCACTCAATATCTGTGTCAGGGAGAGATGTGGCCTGTGATCAGACCCATACTTTCCCCCAGAAACTGCCCAGGAGCTATTAGGCAGTAATTGCTTTCTGCTGCCACACAATTTGGGTGGGATTGAGACAAATCCTTTCTCTGGAAGCTCTGTTGGAAACCGCGTTAAATTCTGCCAACCTGTGTTTCTTCCTGAAATGGAAAGTGGGCTTCCTGCTCCATGTCAGTTCTCTACCCTGCTGTAAGAAAGATATTTTGGATATGCAAGTCTGGTCTTAATCTGCACATAATGTTGCAAGGCAGACATCCCTGGGCCACTTTACAGATAAAAAACTGAGGTCGGGAGAGGTAAGTGATTTGTATACTGTCAGAGAGTTTCTAAGTGGCATAGCCCGCATTTGGACTGTGGTTGATTGATTAGTTTTTAACTTTCTCTTCTTGCTGCTACATCCCTTTTCAATCTGTACTAGTCAAGCAATTTGTTAACGGGATTAAGAGAAACGCGAACTTTGAATTCGGACAACTTAGGTTTGAATCCAAGCATTTCCCCTTTCTAGTTTTGCTGTCTTGGGAAACTGATGCCTCAGGAACCCTATCTGAAGGTAAAAGGTAATAATGCTTACAACAGCTTTGTGAGGACTACATATCATAATAAAACTAAAATGCCTAATCAAATTTTTGGCACAGAATATTCAGCAAAGGACATTATTACAAAATTTTAATTGAAATTTTCCTGTTGAATCTTTGGCCATTCTTTTGTTTTTAGAATATTATTCTTAAACAGCTTTCTCAACAAAACAGTGACACTTGCTAACTTTTAAATTACGAATTCCATTTTAATAGAAAACTGGTGAAATGAGGTACAAGACAAACAACAAACAAACATACAAGCAAAAACTATAAATCAATCTCACTAATAATGGATATTAAAATTATAAATTAAAATGTTAACAAATTGAATTATTTAGCATGTAAAAAAAAAAAAAAAAACAACCAATTAGAACTTATTCCAGAATGCAAAGATGGTTCAATGTTGCAAAAACCTACTAAAGTAACCTACTTAAGATATCAACGGAAAATATAGTCAAAATTAAATAATATAAACTCTAATAGATCAGTAGCTCTCTTTAAATTGCATACATGCTTTTCGTGACCTAGAAAAAGTTTATAATATTCAGTAGATATTAAAATATTATCAGATATCCAAAAAGTTCTTAAAAATTGAAATAATTCAAATCTTTTTCAGTATTTATCTACCTATGCATCTATGCATTATAAAAGTCAGCATCTAAATCTGACTAAAACATATCTGCCTAGATATCCAACGTCATATTTGTTAACAACATTTCATATGAGAGATTAGTTAAGGGCCTGCTCTTACTTCCCACAGATTTTAAAGATACAAACCATATACTTAACCACAGTTATTTCTAGCTGGTAGAATAACAGATTGTTTATCTTTTCTTACTTTTAATTAATAGTATTTTTGTATTTTAAAAATCAGCAATATTAATTTTCAAGGAAAATTAAAGTTATTGAAAGCAAATGCTTTTTATAAAGTAATTTTGACAAAGACCTCTTGTGATAATCAAAAAAGGATATTATGGTTTGGGTGAACACAAGTCAGCATACTTTGAATGACTATTATGCTATGGAAGTATGCTTACATTAGATTTTCATTCCTCTCCTCCTAAATCTTTTCCTGAGGACTGCCATTGGACATGATTTCAGTGTTCGAGAGTGCTCACTTTCCTCCATCTACCCACCGTGTAGTTATTCAGTGCTTGGCATTAGGATTTCAGTCAGCCTACTTACCAACTCTCCAGTTGAGTTGAGCTGGGCTATGAGTGCCAGTGAGATCTGAGGAACTGGAAAAAGCCATTGGAGAGAGCAGGGATGCTAGTGGATCATCACAGTTATCTATAATGATAGGAGGAGAGAGGGAGAGAGACCAGATTCTATTAGCAAGAAATATTCCATGAGAAGAGAAGTTGAGAAATTAACTACCATCATTTATTAACCATCTGCTCTGAACAAGGTCAGGTACTCCCTGTTTCCATATGTTACTGCATCTACTCCTCACAGCACCCCTGAAGGACAGGTCTGGGTTTCTTTCCAGATGGGGAAAATTAAGTTTAAAAATGGCAAGTAGATTGTCCAAGGTCTCAATGCTAGAAAACAGTGCAGCAAGAATTCTCACCCAGATTTTTCTGATTCAAAAACCCAACTAGTTACATTTCTTTAATAAGCCACTGGAGCAAAGCCTTAAATTATTGCTATCAAGATTATTCTATAAGAAGAGAGATGATTAAAAGGGGAAACACTGTTTGACTATTCTCCCATCTTCAGTCCCTAAGAGCTCCCATAATAATTGTGTCTAGAGGAGTAAGATAATTTAAAATTCCCAGTTGTATGAAAGTCTTCAGAAAACAGTTTACTCATTCTAAGAACTTATTTCTACTCCATGAAGCAGTAGTGAATAGTCCTTGATCTTGTATATTGTGAATCTGATATTTACTTCAACAGCTATGCTTTCAACCTATCCTAAATATTGAAAGTATTCTTTCTAAGGATTCTTTGATGATGTCCAAATGTGGGAGAGGATGGGGCCAAGAGCAAAGATGCTTGTCTTAACAAGGTAGATATACCCCTCTGGGTTGACACTGATGTACTGACCAGTCAATCTCATGGAGAGGAACTGCTCTTCACTCTTAGTATATTGTTGCCATGGTTGGAATTTTTGTCATTCCCAAAACTCATGATGAGGTCTAATGTCATTGTAACAATATTAAGAGGTGGGGCCTTTCAGAGATGATTAGGCCATGAGGGTTCCACCCTCACTGGGTTAGGTTTACTGCCCTAATAAAAGAGCTTTCAGGAGTGGGTTCTCTCTCTCATTCTCTTGCCTTCTGCCATGTGACGATGCAACAAGAGAGCTCTCACCAGATGCCAGAACCTTGATATTCAACTTCCCAGCCTTTAGAACTGTAAGCCAATAAATTTCTGTCCCTTATAAATTGCTCAGTCTCAGGCATTCTGTTATAGCAATACAAAATGGCCTAAGACAATTGGTCATCTAAGTCTTTTGTAATAATTCACTTATCTCTTTGTATTTTCCATTGGGTGATACACACTTTGTGGGACCCTAGCAAAGAATCTGATATATAACAAACCTTTGATAAAGGTTTGTTGAAAGAATGGGATTGTGAGCTAATGAAATAAGAAAGGAAAGAATGGAAGGCAGGATTGAGCAGTCAATCAACCAGCCAATTAATCAGCATAATATTACCAACATTCTTTTCCTATTTTTTGTCTTGTACACATTTAATTTTATAGGACATTGAACAACGACTTCATGAAATCTAGACATACCTCATGCAAAACAAATTTAAAATGTGCCATTTAGTTTGAAAGTAAACATCATGGTAGTAAAGGCTCTCAGGAAGAATTGGTTTGATTTCCTTTGTTTTTTTTTAAAGAACATTTACATAGGATTAAGCTTGTTTATTCAGCAAATTCTTAGAGAGCAGTATTTTAGCTAATTGCAGAAAAATTAATTAGAAACATAAGGATTAAATTATTGTTCATTAGGTGTGTTAAAAAATCAACTGGCAAAGTGTATTTTGAGTTTTTCCCAAATACAAATGTTGAGAAATATTTTGAGGTGTTTGACAAATACAAAACCGAGCCAGATCCTCACTGAAGAAGAATAACATAAAAATCGCAGATATGGTTTCTCTGCAGTTACGGTCTTTTGGCGAATAGAAAGCAGATCAGGACCATTTTACCTCTGGCAGAAGATGCAGGTGACAGAAGGTGCATATACACCTCAAAGCACTTGTTTAAAGGCACACATTTGTTGCATTATTTATATATTAGAAAACAATATATAATAATCACTTATTAAATTATATTCAACATAATGCAGATCTTGCATATGTGTATGCCTGGTTTGTCATCAAGAAGCCTCAGGTGAACGTAGAAAAAAAAGCGAGCCCCATAGAAACATACAAACCACACACACACACAAACACACACATAGGCCTTAAGCATCAAGACGGTATCTACATTCACAGGAGCCTTCTAAGCCTCACCCATCCAGATGTGTAGGTATAACCATCCTCCTGTTTCAGGCAACACTCTCTCCACCACTTAACAAGAAATCACAGCTTTTCTGACACCCACTTCCACAGGAAAGTTGTAGCTCTTTTTAAGGTAAAGTATTATAGCTATTGTATGTAATGGTTATGTATTTATTAGACATTTAGCATGTATACAACTCTTCTACTACTTTTATTAGGTTTTTATAGTCTTTTATGTGTGACTGATGAAATTTTTGAGTATTGTACTCCTAACCCCACTTCTCCCCTAAATCTTTTCTTATACAGTTTGTATTGTACAATTAGCAAACCATTTTTACAAATGCATATATTATGTTGTAGCAGAATTGACTATACCCCTGTATATGTTTCAAGTCAACTCAATCATACATTGCTCAAGAAACAACTCCGGAATTTATTTTTCTCCCTTTTTTTTGGTAATCTTTGCATTCATATGTAAATTGTTAAAATGATCATGGAATAGTAGAAGTAACTTAATCATTTCAAATTAATTCAGTCCAACCAATATTTATAAAGTCTCATTTTGTTCATATTCTCAGAGAGGCAATCAGGATAGGTTTGGGTAAAATAGAGTCTAGCCCTCAAGGAGCTCAGAGGCCATTGAGAAATATAGAGATGTAAACAAGTAAATAAACTGATGAGGAAATTTAGGAATCTTTCACTATGATCACACCAAACCAGTAAAATTGGAATCTGTCAGTCCAGACTCTCAGGCAAGTGATATGTTTTGTTCTTCCAGACCTGTGCAATCCTCTCCATTATAAGGTGCTGACCTCCAGGAGAACTAAGCTTCCAGAGCCCATTAGCCTGTGGCAATAACTGCCATTCCCTACTGTCTGTTTTCTCCTCTGAAAGATGTCAGCCTTGTATCTCAGTTTCTAGGGACAGTGGTTCCAGTTTGGAAATTAGTAAATTCATAACAAACTATCTATGCTAATGGAAAGATCCAAGGAAGATTTTTCAAAAATCCTTTCCTCATAGACCCTATGCATTTGAACAGTGGCTTTTGGAAAACACATCTGAACTTTTGATCTCCTGTCCCTAAAAGTAATAAGAATGGGAAAATCTCAAATCTAAAAGGAAGAAAGTCCCCCCGCTCCCCAGAGCAGATAAATCTTTTCCTCTGTCACCTCTATCTCACATGAACCACTTTGGCAACCTTGCCTACATTGATGAGACAGCAAGTCTCTTACGAAATTAGCCTAGTAAATGGGAATTTAAGCTGATTTTTGCCTAATGTTCCATTATTGGAACACTAAGCATGTGAGAGTTATCTATATCCTACTGCTCAAGGTTATCGCCAAGGTCTGATTGCAAAAATTCAAAAAATTGCAAACTCAGTCATAAACGGGTTAAGGGTTTGATGATAAAACCGTTCTAAATTCACATCTGTATTATTTTAAATATGTATCAGATTCTTAAAGCAAAGGAAGAATGATTTAGCGTAAATGAGAACAATAAAACTTGTTTGTTTTGTTTTGTGATTTGGGATGGGCTGCATTAGTGGAAAGCATATTGAGGGTTAGAGTTGGGAGATTCCTTTTTCCTAGATTTGCTTCTTCTCTTGATTGGATGACTCCAGATAACACATTCAGGTACACTAAGCTTTATTTGCACTGTCTGCAAAATAAAGAGTCATTTTCACCAAATCCAGCCATAGAGTCATTTTAAAGATGGAATAAGAATAGATGGGAAAATCCCTTTTAAGTATAAAGCCCAAAATGAGAATGGGAAGCAGTGTATGAATTGCCTGGTAATATCTGCGACTATTGAGAGAAACTATTTTGACGATTTTATTTCCTGGATATTTTTTCTCGCCACAAAATTTGCCCACAAATTGGTGTCATAGATAGCTTGTTCACATTAAAGGTTTACAACTGGCCAGATGAACAGGAGAAGGTGAAGTGGAGGGGGAATAAAATGGGTGAAGACACCTGCGTGCATAAAGATGACATTGTGCCTCCATTCTCTCCTCTGCAGGTCTGCAGTATTGTGGAGTCTGGGTCAGTACTAACCCAAGCACGTGGCTGGAGAGCAAGGAAAGAAAACGTTATCTCCCCCAATGCTCCTGAAGCCTTCAATAAGCAAACCTGTGCTCTCCTTCAATTTCAGGCTCCACGTGCATCTCAGACTTCTAACAGTGTGTCTGCACAATGCTGAATACATCGCTCTGTTCCTCCAAAAGTGTTTGTGAATATTCATCAGTGTTTAATGTAGAAAAGAAGAAGGGGTGAAGAAACTGGGGTCTGAAGAAAGGTGTTTGAATTAAAATATACATAAATATAATCAGAGACCAAAAGGCTTCTCTCATATTCACTTCCAATGGGACACACAGCTTGAGATAAACTATATTGATTTCCCAGGAATCACTTTCCAAGAATGAACCAAATTTCACAGATGCATTGACCTAGTAGAATATTTTCAAAATGAGATCTTTAAGAGCTTCTTCATGGGTCTTTTCTCTAAAAGAGTTATAGCAAAACTCTGATGCAATAAAAGGCTATTTTAAAAATGCAAATCCTTATTCACATCTATGTTTGATTCCCCATTTTTCTTCAACAAATAACTTTGCTGTCATCTGTACTCATTTTCTTTATAATGTAAAGGCCACCACTAGCTCCCGTTATCCCCCCAAAATAAAAATCTACTTCTGTGGGTATAACCAAAAGCACCTTAGCTCTTTCCGTCAGTAGCTGTTTAAATACTCCTAGTCCTGTTTGCATATGATTCATAGATTAAGAGGATTTCTGAACCAGGAGGAACCTCTGAAATTATAGGTTCCAAGCCTTTCACTTTACA